TTTTTCTAAATAATTTAACTGTGTAAAACGGGCACCTGTCCAACGCGGCCGCGGCCACCATATTTTAACACACAACCCCTATCACAGTAAGCAATAACACCTGTCTTAGACGGCCACCTTAGTGACTCGATTACGTTTTGTCATAAATTGTGCACTGGCCCCTGGCGTTGTGGGCGAGCCGTCATAATTCAATCACCTGTCCTTGTTGTTAGGTAGTCCCTCAAACTGATCATATTGCATAGTCCCCTCCCACTGTTGACCAATAGTTAATAATTTTCAGCTGCTGGTGAGGTAAGCGTGTGATCCCTCATAAAACCCATAAGCCCCGCCCAGAACTCATACACAAACCGTAAGTGAGATGAGTGGTCATTGTTTACCCAGTCTGTAACAAAGTAACAGAGGACGTCAACATGAACTTGTGACAGAAGCGTCGCTCCTTCTCCGAGTGGTGGCGTCCCGTGTGTATGTTTTAACATGGCACTCGGTCTTCCTCGTCTGATGCATTTCGTTTTATTGTCACCCTAGATCTAGTGCAAAATCAGCAAAATCAAAATAAACAAAATACAAACCACCACCACCACTGCCAATAACAACAAAAACAACAACAATGCGGCTACTTTCGATTGGGACCTCAGATAGGAATGGTTTGTTTTCTTCATCTTGATCAGTCCTGCCTAAGACGGCCACCTGTCTTATACGGCCACTTTTCTTCTTGACAATGGGTGGCCGTCTTACACAGGTTTGACTGTAGTTTCAATGTCGCATACACGGTAACCGTGTGCGTAGCCTCAATATCTCTTTTAAGAAGTAGGGCCATAGTTTGCCGATTTGTTTGTTCGTTCGTAATCAGCTGTCTCGCCCAGTCTTTGCCCGTGGTGGTTGAACAGAGAAGATGGAGACGTGGGTATCTATGTTGTCTCTGACTTAGGGTTTCTCGATTTGTTACCTGTTGCTTAAAAGTCTGTAATGATTTGTAATGCACAACCTGTATGTTACAAATGTTGCGTTAATCAGACTGCTACCGGCAAATTTCTGGGTGG